AACATTCAATATTCTCCTTGTTTGGGCATTTTCACCCGCAGTACAAACAAGTCAACTTTTGTCGATGATGAAGTGCAAGGTATTTCGCGTACTTCATCGAGTTTTAGTATTTCACTTTTTCCTAGGTGGAATCCTTGCTGATGAAATGGGTATGGGAAAGACAGTGGAACTACTGGCACTAATCCTCACAAATGGCCGCGGGGATAAACAACCAATGTCTTCTATTGAGCAAAAGGAAGTTGAATTGGATCTGCGAAGGTATATTTATTTTTTGAAATAGACCGCTAAAAAAGAAACACATGCTCAAAATCAATGAATTTGACGAATCTCGTAAAATTCTTTTTAGTGATTTTGACAAGGATGTGGCAGCTACAGTCGAATATTTGACGTCTTCTGTTGTAGCTATGGCTGATTCTGAGTTTTTGGTAAGTTATTTGGACCTGGTTTCAGGTCAATGAAGATGAACTTAGGCTCCTCCCAAAAAGCGTTTTCGAAGCATCACCGGTTCCAGTGGCAGAGGACAAAGTGTTATTTGCACTATCTGTAAGAAACGGCATCGACTAGCTGATGTGAGTTTTCTCCCATTCTCTCTGCATAACAACGGAATATCTGTTCAGGTGCACTGGTCGCGAGATTATGAGAAGGATGGGCGATTATTCATTTGTCCACTATGCATTGAGAATAATGTAAGCGAGAAATATAAAGGGCATCTTTGTAAAATGTCTGAACATTTGCAGAAAATGGATTTCGAGGTTTCGACTACCTTGATAATTGTACCAGAATCGCTGTTGCATCAGTGGTATGAAGAAATACGCCGACACTGCAAAGAAGAAGTGATCATCGATGTGAGCTCCTACTTTTTTCAGCAAAATCAAATGAAGGTCGGAGACTAGCTTTGGCGTCTTCAGGTTTACTATGGTGTTGGTGCGGAGGGGTATAAACATCCGGTATATATGGACACGTGTGATATCATTTTGTGTAGCTACGAAACTCTGCAAAAAGAGATCTTCTATGTGCCCTCGGGCTCAGGAGCAAGTTAGTACTTTTCCTATTATCATCCTTCCAAAGAAATAACGAATTTCAGTTGAATTACGGAAACGTTCCCGGCCAAGCACTCAGAAGTATCCCAGCCCGCTTCTGGCAGTGAACTTCTTGCGCGTAAGCCTTTTAGTATGTTCTCTATCCCTTTACCTTGATGATTCTTTCAGATCTGCTTAGATGAGTCCCAGCTTGTAGAGAGTAAGGTGAAAGCTGCCGCCAAGATGTGCTCGTTCCTCCGAGGTCGTTACCATTGGTGTGTTACAGGCACTCCGCTGTCGAAGTCTGTCAATGGTGAGGAATTGATGAATTTTGGGCTGTGCTGATTGAGTTTTCACTGCAGATTTATACGGGCTTGTATGCTTTCTTGGACTATTTCCATATTATATCGACTCTGTATGGGAGCATTATCTGTTCAACCCATGGACCACTGGGAAAAGGAAGGCAATGATCAATTTGTTAACGCAATTGATGTGGAGAAATACAAAGAAAGATGTGGCTGACCAGGTATGGCTGGGATTTGTAATTTATTTTTCCATAAATTTTTTCGTAGAGACGTCACATGATTATCCCGTTTTCAGTTGGATAACGTCGTCCGCCAAGATCGCCTTGTCGAGCTATCCTTCTCACCTATTGAGGAGAGACTCTATTCTGCAAAAATAGAGAAATCTAAGGAGAAAATGCGGACATTATTAGATTCTCTGCTTTGCAACAACGATCCAGATACACCGCTAAGTTCGCTTCCTTCCGCAACTGTAGATGCAATTTTTGCTATCATCAATGATGTCAGGATCTCAATATTAGCTGGTAGGTTTACACTACTTTAGGCGATATTTCGATGTGCCTGTAAGAATTTGTTCTCAGGCGAATCACATAAACACAAGAAAGATTTGAATTGCATAGCAGACTTTCGCATGTTCTCGCCTAAGCTTATATTTCGGAAACTGTTTGAAGACGCCAGAACTGCCGTTGTGCAACGTCATCGTGAAATGGTCGCAAATCGAAACGGTTGGATATTGGCTGTTTTTAGCCCTCGATCGACCAAATGTGATGATGTTTTAGCTTTGGCTGGGATTTATTTACTTTTGGGAGAAGAACATCAGGCTCTGGATTGGTACAAGCAAGCCTATAGCATTCATGAAGAGCAGAAGGAACTCAATCGTTTGCTTGGTTTGGTGGAGGGAACGCA